GGCACAATGGCAGGCGCACATCAGGATGACTGTGCAAAATATCGCAACAAAACACGAACCAATCGCGTCCCAAGACAACTGTGGTTGGCAAAGTGTCACGAATAATAAACAGAAACTCAGTAGACAACTGCACATCGTCTGCGACCAAAGTCACGAGCGCCCGAAACACGCTGTCTTGAGAACGATCAAGGGGCACAAACGACATAGCAACCAGAGAATGAGTAGAAGAGTCATCCCGCACAACTGATATGTTTTGACCATCGAGCATAAACGACATGATGAGGACTGAGTAAATAAAAGACTCAATTTTGAGCGTCAGATACACATATGCGCCCCAAAAAAACGTGAGAAAATAATACTTCATCGAACCAAGACGAGAAAATATTGCCGTTTATGTAAGATTGAATTTGCAAATGTGCAAAATCTGTGTTATTTTCCATCTGAACGGTCGACAAAAACCCAGCTACCTAAAGGTAGCGGGAATAATACATAGCTCGAACTAAAGAAGCACCTCAGGCTCAGGTGTGTTTGCCAATGCCAATGTCCTGGTGACTGACACGTTCGTCAGGGAGTAACACGAATAATCCTAAAGCATATCTATTCCATTCTTCGGGAAATGATTCAGGCATGACGCGTGATGAGTTTTCGTTGCCACGGGCCACGGTGGCACGACCATGGAAGATCACCCCACCAGGACAGTCATATTTGTCCGAATCACTACGAAGGCATCGAAAAATGTGGAGAATGATGCTGCAACTGGCCCAATTTCTGAGCATGGAAGGAAGATCCTTGATCCCATTACAAAGACTGAATCGGACCAAGGTAGAGACAACGCATTCCGCATACTTTAAGTGAGTGCATCGTTTCCTTTCCCCTGAGCTCTATGATATCCTGTCGGGTGAAACGACTGATCTTAGGACATCAATTTTGTTCTCCATCCCCATACAACAAGCCAGTTTCACGACTTCAGAAGGCATTTCAGATTAGCTGTGCGGAGACCGGGAGAATTCACCAACAAAAGTATTTCATACCGGGTCGCAGATGTTGGTGACGTGGCCGAATTCCCGGTGACTATATCCATCACGGGCTACAGCCTACAAATTGACAACACATAAACTACTTCACGGTTCCTTCCGACGACTCTCTTCCTCGTCAACAATGAACTCGACCTGCCCATTTTTCGTGATAGGCAAAACCGTGTGCCTCTCCCCGGTCAGAATCCCATTCTACTTTTCTCTGCGCCAAAGTATATTCGATGACATTCCAGACACCTACGTCGCACTTGGTGCGCCAGTGCTCGCTTTTTGGCTCATGTCTCTCATGTTCTACTGTCTTGATATCTCTGGCTGGCGATGGCTGGATAAATATCGCATTCACGAGTCCGAGGAAGTCAAGTCCAGAAACTTGGCGACGCCTTGGGAGGTCGCACGTGCTATTATATTCCAAAATGTGATGCAGATTCTGGTAGGTTTTGCCTGGTTGACAGAGCCGCCAGCGATCTCGGTTGCGCGGTGTCAGAGCGAGATGGAGGGCTTGGGAAGAACGCTGGTCTTTGTCGTGCCAGGTCTCTTTGGGGAGGAGACAGGGATGAAAATATTGGAGCAGTGGGGGCCTGGGATGACCCATTGGCTGTACTGGTGGGGAATCCCAGCTGCACAGATATTCCTCGCGATGTGAGTGTCATTTAAAATATGGCTTGAGCTCCCTCCAATGAGTCTCCCCAGGTTCACCGTCGATACCTGGCAATACTTCATACATCGCTTGATGCACACAAACCAATATCTCTACAGAAAGATCCACTCAGTGCACCATAAGCTTTATGTTCCTTATGCCTTAGGGGCATTATATAACCATCCCTTCGAATTCCTTTTGATGGACACGCTAGCCATAATCATTGCAGAGCAAGTCGCCCATCTTTCTATACGACAAGCCATTTTCTGCGTCGTGTACGGTACGTGCCAGGGTGTCGACGTTCACTGCGGATACAATTTCCCATTTGATCCCTTCCGACTGATCAGCGGAAATAACTCAGACTATCACGACATACATCATCAGGTATGCCCCTTTACTACCACTTGTCCTCGAAAGTAGTGTTTAGGAGGCGTACAGGCCGTCGGCATCAAGTCGAATTTCTCACAGCCTTACTTCATCCATTGGGACGTACTTCTTGGCACGCGCATGACCAGAGAAGACATTCAAAAACGTGGACAGAAAGTAAAGACGACGTGATGCATCAAACCCGATTATGGCATATAGAGATCTGAAGTTTGGTTTTCGCCTGTACGATCCTAGGTTCTCTCTCTCTTCCCTAGGTTTTGTGTGGCGGTTGCAGACCACTGACAGCGCTCGTGATTTATTCGTCCCTTATTCTTACCTTACAGTCTCCCGTTTTGACCCGCGCTGCACGCGACGTACTTATTGCACGTGCTACATTAAATAGAGAAAAGATGTAAAAGCTCTAGTGAATAGTTAGATAGAGACTGGCATTCTTGCAACCAAGCTATTACGTGACATTGCATGATCGTCTTGAGTCTTTTCCCGTGTGCATTCACAAACACTTCGAGCGGTCGTCACATTATGTCAGTTTTCGACAAATTATATCACATTCAGTTTGAGTCGATTTTCGAAACCGTTACTTAGAGCACTTATCAGCCACTATCGCGGCGAGTTATATTCAGCTTCAAGCTTCAGGCCTCAGGCCCAGGCCTTATGAGGAATATGGTGAGCGCGGGAAAATACTGTCAATCTCATTCGAATCATTCCCAATTTCCCAGCCGTCAGAAGCTGTCAGAGGGCTTAGGTTAGCCCTGCTAATACAAGTTATGGGTAGAAGCCACGACATACTGTGGCGGGAACACATCTGGAGCCTGTTGAAGCAAACTCTACTTCCAACGTCTCACTTCCCGCTCGCAATTCAACCAAGAACACGCTGAAGCTTGCCCATTTCGCGATCGGGGGGCACGACACGACATACTACACACTCAGTACTCAGGTATTAGTAACACGAGCTTCAGTGTTCCAAATTCATCGATTTGCATTCAGCCTCCTCAACAACGAGAGGTAATTTTTCTGACCGAGATTTCGCATTGGACTAGACTGATTACCCCCGTAGGATGACGCTTTCTAATTCCCTAGATATCATCCCTAGAATGGGGTCTGGCGTCATTGAGCACTGTCATGCGACTCGCGCCCACGTCGACAAAGACATAGCTGCATTAGCCGAGTCCTTGCGTGGCTGTCGCTCTCGCAGGATCAGTCTCTCTTATATATCCTGGCTTCCACTCGAGATTCTCACTGCTGTCTTCACATACATCGTAGAAGAGGACACTTTCAAGAGTCCTACAGGCACACCCCGCCCTAATGGTGCTCCTGTTTCTATGATAATCACCCACGTCTGCAGGCACTGGCGCCAAGTCGCTCTCGAGTGTCCTACTCTTTGGGCATCTCTCAATTGCGTCTCTGCTAATTGTCTGGACATGATGTTGGAGAGATCGAAGAAAATTGCTTTGGTTGTTATCTACAGGTCGCCGGGCTCGTTGCGAAAATGTTTCCAGCAAATTCTTTCGCAGTTACCTCGCATCAAATTCCTCCAGTTGTGCTCATATCCATGGGATGTCAATCGCATTTTGGATTGCTTATCATCGCAACCCGCGCCGTTGCTTCAATCATTCAAATTCTCAGTCGCGGGGAAATCTAACTTCAGAGTCATGGGGTCCATATCAGATGCCGTTTTTCAAGGACGAGCCCCCCTACTTCGGAGCGTTGAGCTTATGGAATGTACCTTCAGCTGGACGTCGTGTATTTTTAGTGGGCTTCGAACTCTAGATGTGAGACGAATAGGATCTGCATCTTATCCTACTCTGTCGCAGCTCCTGTCAACTCTGAGACGTATGCCTGAGTTAGAGCAGCTGACACTTGGGCTGTCATCCAGAATTTCCGAGGACACCGAGCTTTCTGACCGAGTTCCACTCACTCGGTTAAAAAGTATAGCACTGGACGCCTGCACCCTCCGAAATGCTGTATCTCTCTTTTCATGTCTCGCCTTTCCCGTTGATGTCAAGATCGCTCTCAATCTAGCACCAATTGGAAGCTGCCTTTCCGACCTATTTTCGGCCATGCACAAGGATCCTGACGGATCAGGTCCTATCATTCGGTCGATGCGTGCCAGTCTTTCGTACCATACATTCGGCGTCCAATTCGGCACATCAACGGCATTCAAATCCAAGTATTCTTGGGACCCTCATAACGATGATATACTACTTTCGATTCAATTCAAATGCAGTTCATCCACTAGAAAGCCCCCCATCATATTTGACATGTGTCAGATGGTCCCGCATCGCCAAATTCAAAGCTTGTTTGTGACATCCTCCCTTGTCCTCCGAGAAAACTTCTGGCGCGTAGGGTCCACTGACCTTCCGGAGCTCGAAAATATTCAGCTGAGTGGGACCTGCAATATGAGAAGCCTGATTGCTGTGCTACAAAGTGGAGGCACACAAAGTTCGGATATGGCATATCCCTCGCTTCATGCTCTGGAGTTCGAGAATATCGACTTTGGATGCGGTGAAGCTGAAGAACTTCAGGACATTGCCATAATGCGAGCCGGTCATGGTGTCGGTATACACGAACTCCGACTAGTGAAGTGCAGAAATCTGGTGGACGATAGAGTGCAGTTCCTCAAGGAAGTGGTTACAGACGTCGATTGGGACGGGCATGAAGAGAGCTTGGTGGGCGGCAGTGGCTCGGGAGGTGGCTGTCTTTGTCACATTTGCAGGGATGAATCTTCTGGGGAGGACTACACGCAGGCACTATTACATTCGGATTATGATTACGATCCTGATTCTGATGCATATTCGGAAGATTAGTTTCAGTTTGACTGTATCTGGGACAAGTTATGATCTTAGTCGAATATACACTACTTAGCTCATTTAGCTGCACCACAAATCTCATCGTCGCTGTAACTAACTACTTAATTTGATACGCTCACATAAGCTCAGGTAACTTGCCATCCAGCACTTGCACTCTACGCCGTGGTACTATTACATGACACAGCACCTAAAGTACAAACGAAGACTACTTCGAATCCATCATTGCTCGGAGGCGTCTTTCTCTCGCTGTGTTCATGCTTTCAAACGAGCAATGAAATGGTTCAGGGCGACTTCCGCAGAGTCAGCCACATGTTCTTGAATACATACTAGGCCACTTACACCGCCAAACCGGTAGTGAACTCCGGCTTCACCTCAATCCTGTCTCCGTTCGAGTCTTTAGCATGACTGATGCGTAAGACAGCGAGTATGGTAGCAGCTGCGGTCCACAGACTATTCTCTGCGAACCAACGACCTGCCAAGGAAATTTATCACCCTCAGCACTGCTAGATCAACCACGAATAATCCTACCAGGACAAATACGCCTCGGAATAAGGGTCAGTGAATGATTGAAAAATGATAGTAAGTGCAGAATATTCACCTGCCATGGCCAAAGGCAAAATGGTTGACGAAAGAGTCCTTCAGCTTCCCGTCAACTGTCAGATGGCGACTAGGATCGAAGCGCGATGCATCGGGAAATACATCTTCATCCCGAGAGAGTGCCCTGAGCCACGCTCAGCTGACGCCGCCCTCACATGCACTTTACCACAACATACCACTGATTAACCATTACCATCGCACCTGATTGAACTGTGGATTAGTCAACGACAACCTCGACATATACGACTTCGAACCTTTGGGTATGAAGTACCCGTCGTAAACATCATCATTTGATGTCGCATGTGGAATTCCTGTGCAAGTGGTCGAACATTCAAACAGAGTTATATTACTGCGGACTGACCTAGGGGAGCGACAGGATACCATCTCGGGACCTCGCGGAGGATGGCATCAAGGTAGGGCATTGACGCCCTGTCATCAAGGCACGGCATTTTATCATGTCTCACAACTCGGTCAATCTCTGCACGAGCGTGGGCTTGAATGTCGGGGTAGAGCACCATAATCAGCAAGAATGTCTGCAATGTGGATGCGGTCTGCGCAGTGCGGGACATCAAAATCAGGATCAGGACTGCTTAAGTAGCGGCTCACAGTGTCCATGCCAACTAAAATGCCGTATTACCGTCAATGGATGGATTCTGTCCTTATGATAAAAAAACTTGTACCTGCGTACCCCGTCAGCGCAACAGCCTTCATGGTGTCTTCATCAGCGTCGTCGTGAGCTTGACTTATAAAGTCAGCGACCAATGAGTGTGAAGCAGTTCCATTTGCCTTTACGCAAACAGATCAGGTGAAATTCCCATCCACAACTCTGCACAGACGTACTAGCTGTGCCTTCACTTCGTTAAAGGGCTCGTTCAAAAGTTGTTGGGATACGCAAAGTCTCGCCATATGGTAGGAGCACAGTATTGAAATCGACTCCGGCTCTGTATCGTCAGTGAATGAATAACAAACTGAGTGAAACGCGACAATGCATACAATTCGTTGGTGCGAATAACGGGGCGAGTAGAGTAATTCGCAGAACGCCTGTCGAGCAGCTCCCGCGCAACCGTCTCAGAGTTTATGGTAATCAAGTCGATCCCAAATATGTAGGAGTGAATGATTTTTCCTATGATCAGAGATGAGGTATAAGAGCTTGGCAAAGAGGCCATTGGTCTGCCACCAACCATATGTCTTTCCCCACGCGGTATATGTGAGCCAAGGTCGTTTAGTATCCAATTGCAGCGCATTACCGAAAAATGGTAACGGAGGAGGGCCAGGCGGCAAAGGTAAAGGGTAGACACGTCTGCGAGTCACACGCGAAAGGACAACCAGGGCAACAATGCACGATATCCCTGAAGCTAGAATATGAGTGGAGAGCATGGCGAGGGATTATAGTCGAGCCCAAGACATGTTTGATGGCAGTTCGCCTCATAAAAGGCGTCTTTGACCCGAACACCGCGTGAAACCGCAGATTGTTGTTGTAGGGGATGAGGTGTAGAGGTGGGAATTTATTCATCCTCACCGGATCCTACGAAGATCCTTAGTACATCCCTCGCATGTTAGGATTTACAGCTACATATTTTCAAGATGGTTTGGCACTATCAGACGCGAGGCAAGGTTAGAAATTAAAATACTTCGCACCAAATATGGCAATTAGAGAGGCGCGGGACAGCGGCGCATTAACTCTTCTGTTAACCTTCACTGGCTTGAAAAGCTTCAACATCCCAAATGCACCAGAAAGTTCTTTTAGAGAAGCCCACACAGGCCAGAATCTGTTCAAGAGACAGCTTATAGAGGTTGATAGCAGCAAGTTTCACATCTTGTGGAACGGCATGATATCAGAGAAAGATCTAAGGATTAGTAGGGAGACATAAGTAGTCAAAGACTAACAGACCAGAATGATATGCGCAGACGAAACAGCCGGACGCGTTTAGGCCTTAGGGCCGGAGTTAATGGATTTCTCTGATTTTTTCGACGATGACAAAACAAAACCCACCAGTAACTGCCGTAGTAGTATACTTAATTATACTTGGTCACAATCACGTGACGAATCACGTCGCGTGCAGCTGTCACACTGACTTCGACTTGCTTTGACCTTGTCTCTTAAAGTTATCACTGAATCCAATCCAATTTCTCTGCATGGACCTTGATGAAGTCGTGGACACATCCGACGTTGAAGAACGTGAATTTGATGCCTCAGAGGCAGATTATTACACCCATCTCTCCTCCAAGAAGACGCGACCGAATTCAGGACCTACCACCGAGTTGCATGGAAGGTTTAATGATAGACAAGATCAACCTTCCCCACGGAAACGTGCCAAGGTAGACTTGAAATTCTTATATTAATCTTACTGCGGTGCTCATTACTTCTCAAGACAACTCATAGCGAATCTCAATCGCAGCTGATTGTCGATGTCAGTTCGTCGTCCCACGCATCGCCTGTGAAAACCACCACATCTTCTGTACTGCATACAAGTGCACTACACTCGCCAATGCAGGTTGCGTTCAACCATATTCCCAAACTATTCCTTCCAGCTGCCGATGCACCCGAAGCGTCATTGCGCAATGAGGCTCGATACCCACATATTCACGAGCCGAGTTTCAACGACCTAGATATCCCTCCCCCACTTCTTCCAGCTGAATCTGGAAACCTGACAAATCATCCCATCGCTTCAGCCGACGTGCGGCCACAGGCTGATCCCCAGTTGCCGCTTCCTGATTCCTCTCAACCTCAGCTAGATGACGCCCTTTTCCCGTCATCGCCCGCGGCGTTCCCTTCTCAATCTCTTGATTTTTCTCAGAGCCTAGCACATCTTGCTCTATCTCAACACGAGGGACTAAGTTTGAGTCCATCCCCTTCCATGTCGCGCCCAGCAGACTCGTGGTCGTTGTTTTCTTCTCCCCCGGAGTCTTCGACGCAATCGTCCCAAAGGATTACTCCCCAGAGTATCGGAAAGCCTACCCATATGACACGAGATACGCCACCGCTCACTGCGTATCCCTCTGGTCGTCGATCTCCATCCCCTGACGAGCTGCTTCTCATCTCTCCTGAAACCCGCTCGAGACGCCTGTTGACCCCAATCACCCCAATAGCTCAAGACGCCCCATCCCCGGCTGTAGAATCACAGGATCTATTACCACTCCCGTCTCCTCCACCTCTCGTTATCCCTGAGGACCCAGAACCAGTCAGCCGTTATTCTCTTCGCCGCAGGCAGGCACGTCAGCTTCAACCGTACGCGTTTGACAAGGCGCAGTACAAGGCGCAGATGAAGGCAAACCCCGATGCGATCGTGAAGTTTGTGAGTCCGCAACATCGCGAGATGCATGGAGAAGATGGGTCACAGTGGGCCGATGGGGAGACGCAAGGTGGAACCCAGGCAGAGTATATTTTCCCGGTTGACAATCCGGAAGAGGACCGAGATTATGTGGATGTGGAAGGAAGGAGGCGAAAGAGGCGGGTCACCATTGCTGAAGCTGATCTTCATAACCGTGAACAGGAGGAAGGATGGCTCCCTGAGGCTCTAAGAGATCTGTCTGAAAGCGACGAGATTGAGGGAACAGATGAAGTTCGCAAGTTAGCGAGGGATGCGAGGAGAGCTCGGAAGAAGGCTGAGGCTGAGGCAAAGAAGAGGGAGAAGGAAGAAGCTCGCCTGAGAGCGCAGGAAGAGAAAGAAATTGCGAAGAAGAGACGTTTCAAGAATTTCCCACTGGCAGCATCATCGTCAAAGCAGCCTGCTGCGAGATCATCTTCAGTATCCTCGAGACGGTCTCCATCTCACTTAGGCGAGGTGAGATTCGTTTGGAAACACTTGTCATATACTGACGTACTGGATATCTTCTTTTTTTAGCTGTCTCCGCCAGTCCTATCCAGGCTTTTGAAGGGAAAGCAACATATCACACTGTCTCCTTCCCGCTCGCCCTCACCCTCACGTTCCCTTCGTTTTGATCCTTCACAGCTTCAGTCCCGTTCGCTGGCAAGGAATCCCCCTGCGACCGACGAATACGAGTATCAACAAGATGATGACTACGACTACTATAATTTCTTCGACCACAACGACCATAACTCGGAGAATGTCAACCCTGATACCGACAACGATGCAATTGAAATTCCTTCAGCACCGTCAACACCACCACGCTCCTCGTCTACAATGCCTGATGGGAGCAATCACTTGGATTTGTCCGATGATGATCCGCTCGCCCGTGAGCCTCGCGAGGAGTTCAGCAGTCCTCCTCAAATTTCTTCTAAAGATCGCAAACGTTTCCGCCTCTTGCAGCGTATGATGCCCGCTGTCATGATCAAGAAGCAGCTCGAGCCGCAAAGTTCCCAAGTGAAAAGTCTTGCCAGTGCGAAAAGAGCGCGTTCTCCAACGCCGTCTGATAGTGGCGACGAGCCCTTGAGACCTGGACATGCACGCGTCCGAATGGGTGTTGGTGGACGTGATGTTGTAATTCAGGGAGACCCTGAGAGCTCGGATGTCGAAATTCCTCGAGAAGAGGACATGGAGGCTGAGGTACCAGACATCGTATCACAAGTTCGTTGGCGGGCATCTCCCAAAGTCAGATCAAGGTCTCCGGCCATTAGCATATCTTCCAGTTCCGAGAGTGGATCCGAGAGTGATGGCGAGGAAAGTGACGGTATGATCGACGACGCACGGATCGACGCATGGAGCCGAAGTCGCCGGCCTATGCACGAGAAGAGTCTGATTGACTGGATGCTTACGCGGACCAGGACGGTGGGTGGTGGGAGAAAGCAGAGGGCCAAGTCAAGTCGGAGACCCCGAGGTTCTGGTGCAAAATCCCGAGACATGGGTGAAAGCAGAGGTGGACACTCAAGGCCAAAGCTCAATATTGTAACAGGTGGCGCGCGAATGGGGAATCAGACCCTTCTCTCCTTCCCCGCTGTTTCTTCTGACCATGACCACCGCTCTCAGCATTCACATCATCACAAGGTCCACAAGCGGACAGAATCGACAATACCAGCGGAGCGCGAGTCCAAGGCACTACGAAGGGAACGGAGGAAGAAGAAGCGCAAGAAAGCGGAGGGAGAGCTCTACAGCTTCCACCAATCTGGCACGCATATTGCGCGAAGGGGTTTGCGAATTGATCTGGGTGATGAAGGATTCCATCAGGCGCTGGACCCGACTTGGAGGAAGGAGATAGATAGGTGGCAAAGGCAACCTGGATTAATGCGGCAGCCTGCGTCTGCGATTTCATCCCGAGTTCGTCGAGAAGATACTCAATCTAAGCGCCAGAAAATTCCGGTCTCGCGTGTTGATTCTAAACTTCAATCTAGTGTCGAGTCCAGTCAGGATGAACACCAGAGAAAATCGCATGCTGAGTCAGGTCCTCCACCCTTCCGCGTCGGTCCGCGTCGTAGCCACGTTGACTTTGATATACCACTAGATCCGCCACGCGAACGACCACCACCTGTGCGTAGGAAGGGTTATAACGACGTCCACGAGTTTATGCATGCTGCAGATCAACGGGCGTTGTTGACCACAGTCGACTTGGGCATCGACTCTTTGCCCTCAGGGATTGCGTTCTCAGCCGGAACGTATATTGGCCGCGGGTTTCTTCACCAGCTGATATGCCTCGTTACAGGGCATGCTCAGCCTGTTGCTCCTATGTCATATGTTATTCGAGGGTTCGACCTTGGACCTGACACATCGGTGCATGTTCTTACGACTGTAATTGCACCCTTGTGTGATCAGCTCGCGGATGACGTGCTCAAAGGACACGAGTGGACGGCTGTGACTGGGAAGGACTGGGAACTCGCAATGCGAACGGTGTGCCAGTTGGTATCGTGGCAGTGTCTCAGCATCGACGACCAGGACTTCAGTTCGCTGGAGCTCACGGTACACGAGACTATGGGTTCTTTAGTGGCGCGGGTGTTGGAGGCTAATTTTCATCAATTTTCATTACCTGTTTGCTGGTTTGCAGTAGAGCTCGCTGCCCGGATCATGCACGCTGCAAGGACTCGGCGGGGGTCATCAGAGACCCGAGAGTTGTTCAAATTTGCGCTCTTGCTCATGCGGCCCCTGTCAGATGTAGACCTCCGGGAAATTTTAGCATCG